AGAGAGCCCTACTTACTCACTCCGTGTGAGGAGCCTCGCTGAGGAAACAGATGTGCCACTTTAAGACACCATGTGACGGCTGCCGCAGCGTATCCACAACCGTGGCAATGGCAGGTTATAGACTGTGATCCATCTTTCATGGAGGTCACTAAACATGCACCTACTGCACATATACGCACACACTTCTCAAACTCCAACACAAGTATAATTGCCTAGAATTCTTTACAGATGCTTCTAAGTCCCATGCTGGCGTGTCCTATGCAGCTGTTGGCCCATCTTTTTCAAATTCTGGTATACTGCATCCCCAGAAAGGCATTTTCACCGCAGAAGCCTATGCGGTATCTGTGGCTGTCAAGCATATTGAAGAATTGCTACTACAATGCGCGGTTCTATACACAGATTCGCTGAACATTGTGACAGTTCTGAAAACGCACAAAAAACATAGAAATCCTGTACTTCTGTCGCTTTACTATCTTTTATGCAGTATCTACGCCCTCAAATGACATGTTCTTGTGTGCTGGGTGCCAGGGCATCGTGAGATCACATGAAATGTGTCAACATACCAGCTAGCTGCATCTGCGCACGACCACACTTCGCCAGTATACCCATGGCCGTCCCTTCACTTGACATGAAACCTTTCTGACGTCAGCTCAGGGCGTGCTGGCAGTGCCTATGGGATAGGCAAACAGACAACAAACTACATGTTATTAAACCGGTGCATGGAAATTGGCCACCAGTGTCCAGATCACGCTACACACAAGTTACACTTACAAGGCTGCAGATAGGACACACACACTCTACACATTCATACCTTTTGGCTGGCGATGACCAACCCATCTGTGAGAAATGTGGAGATCCACTAACGGTACTCCACATTCTAGTTCAGTGTAGTGATTTAGACGATTTGAGGAAAAAACACTTTTTATTGCCTTACCGACAGCAGCTACCTCTGCATCCTGTCATGCTCATCGGTAGGGATCCGCTTTTTAAACTTCAGTCACTTTTTACGTTTTTAAAAGATTTCCATAGATTTCACCCCATATTTCGAGGTGATCTGTAGCTCCACCTCTGTACAGAGGTTGCGGCTGCGATGGCCCTCTCCACCAACATTGTCATTTATTCCACCTCCATGCATTTCATGTCAATGCCTTGATTTTAGTATTTATTAGTTTTAACCAGCCTCAGGGTGTAGAATTTTAGGCCCCTTTACAGCCACGCAACACTATCATTGTTCATATTGCCGCGTGCATAGCTGTATCCGTTCGGTTGGTAGGATGCTTCTAGAGCCAATGGACGACGCACAGCGCCTGCGTAGGTACTCGAGTTTGGATGCTACGACGGAGCGGAATATTGTTGAGGAGAGGTAAACGCTTGTTGAAGTTCACAGCGAACGACTTCAGCGACAAAGACTACCGTGGACTCCTACTGTGGAGGCACCTGTGACTGAAATGTGTACTTTGCGTTCTCCTTTGCGATCTCCTCACGCACGATCTGTCGAATCAGGTGGCATAGAGAAAACTCTTCGTTTGTGGTAAGTGCGGCGGCGCCTGCAGCTGCGCCGGTAGCCGGGCGATCAGACTGTCGGTACCGTTGCTGCAGTGCATGCTCTATTACGGTGGCCTCCCTGGTGAACTCATCGTCTGTTGTTGGCGGATTGCGCACAAGACCAACAAATAGCTGCTCTTTGACACCCCTCATGAGATGGCTTAGCTTTTGAGCCTCTGGCATGTTAGGGTCTGCGCGGTGGCACAGACGCACCATATCCTCAACAAACATGACGACGCTTTCACGCAGCTGTTGGGTGCGTCCTTCAAAAAGGCATTGTGCGTTTTCGCGTCGGTCCGCGTTACCAAAGGTGTCAAGAAACCGACAACAACATTCCTCCCATGTCGTCACTGTTGCCTCGCGGTTTATAAACCACGTCTTCGTGCCATCTTCAAGGGCGAAGTATACGTGGAAGAGCTTTCTATCGAGACTCCAGTAGTTCGATTTAGCTACCCGTGCAAACTGCTCAAACCAGTCTTGCGCATCTTCGTTTGGCCGGCCATGAAATGGTTCAGGGATGCGCATATTCTGGACCGTCGCCTGTGCAGGACTCCTTGAAAATGCCATTTCTTGAGTAAGGGTGGCTGTCGGAAGTGTTGCTCCTTCTAAAAGGCCAAATTCTGGTTCAAGACCTTGAAGGCAACGGCTTGAGCGGTGCACAGGCATCTCCACGCAAGGCTGTCTCATAGGGCTAGACTCGGGGCTTCTCACAGGGGTGCCAATCATGAGGTGGTAGTACCCAGCTCCTCCACCAGTGTCGCGGGTTCTAAATAACAGAGGGTTTATTTAAAAACACGGACAGTTGAACTCGTAGAGATGTCTCAAAACAAGGCCGCTAAGATTGTCGTCTTCTTTACTCGCCGCTAAATGCAGCTATGCACGCGGCAATATTCTGTTCATATTACTTGAATAACGCACCATGGCTTCTCTCTCATCATTGTTCATGGCGCTCTTTGGCCATCACATGGCTCTTGTGCCAATAAATGCCATATATCATCATCATCGTAACCATTGAAACCACAATAAGTTGAGGGTTATTACTGCAAATCTATTTGTTTTTGCTTTGTCCAGGATGTATAATACCAGCATGCTTTTCACTTTGTAGGGATAGCTTGAGTTTCATATTGTCTTAGAAGCCTGGGTATGTAATTATCGAAGCAATATAATGACCTTCAGTTGGGTATTTTGGGGAAGGTGTTTACAATACAGTAAACTCTTGTTAAGACGAGCTCTTGTTTAAGACAAACAACACGGGAGTGTTTGTTTGGTTTGCTATAGGCTCAATGCGAAAAAACGAAATCTGCTCAACACGAACCGCTTAACAGGCCTCTTCTGTTAAGACGAACTATTGCAGCGACCGACATGGACGGGGATTCTGCTCATCGAACATTATAGTCTTGATGGGGGCATTCTGGTGAACAAGAAAAGGCACAATGGAAAAAAAAAACTTTTTGGTGTAAAGACTCAAAACAAATCGAAAGAAAACTGCTACATGGAGAAAGGAAGTGAGATAAGCGGAAAAGGAAGGTTAGTGCAATAAGCCGGTATTTCTCTCACCCCTAGCCTGTACGTGAAGAAAGGGCTGACCTTATCAGCAAAGAAAGCCACAAGAAGTGTTCGTCAATTTGTATTCTCCTCGTGTTCTTCAATTTCCCAACTGGAGTAGTGGAGAATAGAACATCACAAGAACTTGGTTAGGGCGGAAAATGCAAGGGAAGGGTGTCAAAAAAAAAAAATGAAAGTGAAAACAGGAACAAAGATTGTCTGTGCATTAAATCACATGAAACTGGAAACCACATATGCGTGGCGCCAGCACTCCCATCGGAGGGGTCAAATGCATTGTCATTGCCTGAGCACATGTTGGGGTCAGTTTGCATTGTTTTGCATAGGGCCTGTGCGTATCGTATCTGTTCCCAGTGAAATGTAGCAAATTTTGGTGCACTTTTTTCATTGTGAAAGTGCATGACAAAGGAAGGTCATTTGGCACACTATATAGCTGCATCGTGTGTTTTTCGTGTGCCCGAGGCTTGTGATCGGGAGTAGCATAAACGGAGATCTTCAGCCGCATGTTGTTCAGGAAAAGTTACTTTGGGCTAAAAATAAGAAAATATCTGAACCTCAAAGAAAAGCTTGCAGACTTTCGTTAGCAACATGGTGTATAATAGCTTTGTCAAAGTAGCAGTATGCAATGGAGGCGTATTCAAAAGTGTTAGCAAAGCCAGTAAAACAGCCTTTCAGAAGTTGAACTTCTAGAAGAATAAATTTTCTGTTCATTGATGGTCAATTGTGCTTGTCTCTTTCTTTTCATCTTATTCGAATCGTCGAAATGTGGTCACTGCTACGTTTTATTGTTATAATGTGGTAGCAGTTTGTTTATGAGCATATTTATTAGGAACTCGTGGAATCAAGTACTCATTAGGTTAGTCTAAATACTCTACTTGAAAGCACAGTTTTTATCAACTGAGCCAAATAAATGCTTTTCTTGTTCCTTTTCTCATCATTGTAAAGTAAACTTAATGTTTTCAAGCAACATATTTGGGCGTACTTCGCATGTTAGCATTTGATTTTGCGGGGCACTTCTAATAAAATGAACAAATAATCATGGCCCTTTGGAGTTCGTCTTTAAAGGACTCTACTGTAAATCTAAATTATGATGAATTCCATTTCATTGGTCGAGCTGAAGGAAGTATTTATGCTTTGCGGCCGAGAATAGCATTCCATCGGTCGATTCGATGCTAGTTCACATTTTCCACTGGCAGATTCAAAGCCAGCCACTCCGCGATAGAGCGTTCTGCGTTGCTTCGTTTTTCAGGGACAGATTTTGCTGGAACTTTGGCAATGTGGTGCGGTAATTTCAAGTGCAGTCAGGTACCTGTTGGTGTAATGTGGTGCGGTAATTTCCAGTGCAGTCAGGTACCTGTTGTCTTTAGAATTTGGGGTGGTGTCTGATCACTCTCTGTATTTGTTTACATTTCCAAATGGGGTGTCGTTGAAGAATGTGCTGTTAGTTTGCTTCTTGCTATAAGTGATAGCGAGAGCTCAAGTTCTGACATTTGTAGCAGTAGCACTGGCAATGAATGATACGTGCTCAACGAAATTATGTTTAAAGAAATGTTCCCTGACCCACTGTGTGCATGCCTGAATGTCATCGGCTAAGTCGAAGAAGTTCTGGAGCCGGTTTATGTGATGTATGCATAAACAACTTCCAGCGTGAGCTCACTCAGGGCATCAGGAGTTTTCACATGTTCCGCTGGCAGATATGGCGTGGTGCAATCTGCCATTACAAATGCTACACAGGTGTTCCCTTTGGAGCTCGATCCAAGCCACCAAGTAAAAATAGTAAAAAATTAAATTAAGAATTTGCATGCTTTTTTCTCATGTACTTATGAGCTGTGACAGTAACCTTTGATCATCAGAATTGCCTACTTTTAGTAATAGACATTTGTTGTCTGCAGGGTGCAACATGTCTGATACATGTAACAACAGCAAAATTTGTATCCACGAGGATTGGCGCTGTAATGGTGTTAACGACTGTGGGGATAACAGTGATGAAGTGGACTGTGGCTATCATCCAACACCGTCCCCATCACCCACCACGCCACCACCAGGACCTCCATCCCCATCCAAAGGTGGTAAGCACAGCTTTTATTCCTCTGCTGTTTTCAAGCTAAGTATTGCGATATCAAAAAAGGCTGCAGAAGTTTTGTACAGTCTGCTTTGACAACCATGGGAGCATCTTTCGTTTTCAAAAATGCTAGTTTAATCATATAAATCACTATGAATAGATTTAAAGTTCACCCATGAAACAAGTTTGAAGCTAATAAGCACATTTCAATATACTAAACTGAAAGAAGTGCTTGAGTCGCAAGTTTCATTATGAAATTGTTTTCTAAATTCCTTATTTGTTGGCTGATTGTGTTGGAGGGGCACTTAAGAGAAACAATTAGTTGCTTTATACTGATAAACTGCACTCTGAGAACTCTAATATCACAAGTTTCACTGTCGTAATTTCATTATTAGGGAAGAAAATCACGATTGAAGTTTCATTTTTAAATTTTGTGCTGTATTCTCTGCCCGTGACATAAGAAATTCCACAATGTATATTCGTATTTTTGCGATATTGGCTCGATTAAATTTTCTGAGACTTCATATGCTAAGTCTATAACTCCCACAAATTACAATGTACTTCAATTTTATTGATTATAAGCTACAAAGGACCCAATAGACGCCTTCAAAAATTGATGACATCATAGTATTCGGTGCAGGAATCGCAGGATGGCATCTCCACTCAGTTTCTTTTCACGTGTAAGCGTCGTGTCGAGGTAATAGTGTTGTTTTCGGGATAAAGAAATTGTGCTTTACTAATACGCAAAAAAGTGCTTTGCTCTTTAGTGTCTCTTTAACCATATATAAATAAATATAAACCAGCTCCTATTCCAGGAAGAGAGGGGGGGGGGGGGAGGAAAAAAATTTACTATGATTGTGTGCTCATCACAAGAATTTAAGGCTACAGCATTCAGAAAACTCAAATAGCAGTTACAATCGAACCTCGATATATCAAAACACGAGGGGGATTGCAAAATAGTTTGATACAGCTTTTTCTGATGTCAGGTGGGGGGGGGGGGGGGGAAGGGGAAAGGAAGGGGGCATTTGTACAGCCATCTCTCCAGAATGCAAGCTGAGTGTGTCCAGAGATAACAAACATAAGGTCTCGGTCAGCATTTACAACTGCGGTGAAATTAACTCCAGGTGCAGGCTTCAGACCTAGAACATTGATTTCAAAGTTAGCTTTGCAGGAAAAAAAATTGTAATTTGGTTGCAAAAAGCACTTTATCATCAATTTTGCAATGTTGAGTGTACCTGTCAAAAAAACAGTGCATTTTTTGTTCACAAAGTTTATTCTCATCAAGGAACAAATTAGATACAATCTTTGTTCTCTTTGCTGTCAAAGGACCTCTGAGGAGAAAAAAAAAAAAAATCACAAGCCTAGCTGAACCTGAACTTGTTGTGATAGGTTTGCGGGCAATAAATCATACTGGCATGTTCGTTGGTGGCTGCCATATCGCCTTCATTCTGTTGTGATACATATCTGTGAAAGCACTGCCACAGTTGCATGCAAGTCGGAATCGTGGATTGACTGGTCTGTGCACTTACCAAAGGTGAATGGGATCGAAACCCGGTTGTGGCGGCTGCATTTCCAATGGAGGCAGAAATGTTGTAGGCCCGTGTGCTCAGATTTGGGTGCACCCCAAGTGGTCAAAATTTCCGGAGCCCTCCTCTACGGAGTCTCTCATGATCATCTCATGGTTTTGGGACATTAACCCCCCACAAATAAATCAATCAATCAAACCAAAGATACAAAAGGCCTTTGAGGGGGCAGACTGGTCTTTGGGACCAAAGAGTGAAAAAAAAAATTCCTTTTTTAAAGTTGACATATTTGGTTTCTACAAATATTTTTCTACCTCTCTGCAAATTTTCGCACACCAGGAATTGATGAGTTTTTTTTTTAATGTCATTCTAACTGACCAGATTCTTGGTGCTGTAAACATGCAGAACCTGCAAAATATGGGGAACCGACTTTGAGGCTTCTTTATAATTTGCCGGCACCTATGTTAGAAGCTCTGCTACGAATTTGAGCACCTTTATGAGGGTCGGAAAACATGCGCACCATGACTGTTGCTTTTTAAAGAAGCTGTGTGTTTTCAGTTTTTCTCAATTTTGCTCAAAAAAGTAAATTTACGACTGTTCAATTTTGAGGCCTCGATATATCTGCAGCTAGGGCAGGTACAACAATAATTCTTTTTGCAATGAAAACCTGTATGTGAAAACCTGTATGTTTTGTATGAAAACCTGTATCTGAGTGTCAAACCTTGTAGCAGTTTCTCTGGAAAGCGGTAGAAATTTTCAATTTTTTTATATACGTTCAGCCTTCGTTGGTGGAATGAATGCCCACAACACTGGTCAGTGGAGGCGATGACAATCATACTGCCAGTGAAAGTCGAAAACTGAAACTTAGTGCAATTTCTTAATAAAACAAATACTTTAGTGGTCGTTTAGAGCACGAACACACTTTTTTGTTGTTTTTATGAGCGGCAGAATGCGCCCTGCTCGTGTTTCTCCACCGTTTCCAAACAGGCATGCAGGCAAGCATGCAAGTGAACACACTGCCTGCAAAGCCACTGGGTGCCTCTTTGAACACGTGAAAAAAAAAAAATTGTCTCAGAACAACCTAAAGCTGCCTCAAGTACATAAAATATGATTTCAAGTTATACATGTTTGTTTTTAAGCAAAAAAAGTCAATCTGCAGGGATTTCTTTTCCTACCAGTAGATTGACCACATCGCTTTTGGGTGTTGCTAGCGGTGAATTTTTGTCGACTTTCTCAACATCAAGTTAAAAGCATGCTCGTTGGTGCCGATGTGATGAATGATCTTCTCATTGGGCCACAATCAGAAAAAAATTTTCCGAGCACTAATTGATTGATGTGCGGGGCTCAATGTCCCAAAACCACCAGACGATTATAAGAGATGCCATAGTGGATCTGATTACGATCTGATTACTACGAGTGGCCGCACCGGATGCACGACCAGATTACTACGAGCGGGCGCGCGGCGGTTTACAAGTGCAGCGCGTCATCAGAGTCGGCTTTAGCCCTAACTTCGCTGACAGCGAGACTGCGGGCAGGAACGACGCGTAAGCGCGCTTTTGGCGACGTGCTTCTTCGCAATTAATGTACCACATCACTGGCTAGCTCCTCTGAATCACGTATGGACATTTTATGCATCGCCAGCGGACAACACAGTCAAGCTCGTCACCCCCCCCCCCCCCCCCCCCCTTCACTGAAAAGGATTGCTCGGAACAGCGGCTAGCAGTTTCGCGCGTCATTCAAAAATGCGATGCCAAGTGCCGTGCGCGCCGATTTTTTGTCATCGTAGTTACACATTTCGCGCATTGTCATCGACCGCCGCTGGCAAGTGCATTATGCGCCGGCTGCACTGTTCACGCGGCCGCGCACCCCACGGTCATACGGAGTGCTGTCAATAAGCTTTTGTGATGCGATTCAGACGTGCTTGGAGCCATGCTTGATATCACCACGAACGTCTATGAATGTTCAGAAGTTAATGAATTGCTGTAGATTAGAGCTTCCGCGACCCGCTGTATGATGATGCCTTTCACGGCTAGAGCGGCGAAAGAGCATGTATGAATCAGGGGCACGAATTTTCATATGCCCGTTTCGTGTCATTAATTATACTGCTAGAAATTCCTGTGCCACCAGTTTTCTGCCCATAACTTTGTTATTTGGAAAGAAGGCATAGGCCGTCATGGTGTGATCCATTTTTCTGATGCAATAAACCTCTCTCCAAATAAAGAAAAGTTCAGTGAATATTTGTAACCAAGTACTTAATTATGCTATTACAACCAGCACAAAAAAACTTATGTATAATAATTTCAGTATATGGCTTTATTCAAATACAATCTTTACTGTCATACCTATCACACCACTCCTTCATACAAAGAACTTGGTTTGAAATCCATACTTGTTCTTTGTAAATCATGAAAGGAAGTCAAATATCACAAGACAAACCTGAGATCACAATTTTTAGGTGTCTTAGAGACGTAAAGAAAAGTTGAAACTTTAAACGCAGCTTTCTCAATACAGTTCTTTTGACATTATGCTCAGCCCCTCCACATGGTTTAATGAAGAAATAATTTGTTTCTGGTAAAGTATTTGTGGTATCGCTTCAAAATTTTTATGGAAGCACTGTGAGGTCATTCTTAGTGTCTGTGCTAATTTTCATCAATATCCAACAAGAAACAAAAAAGTTCATTGAAAAAAAGCCTGTCGAAAACTTCGACAGGCTTTTTCTCACAAGTGTGTTTTGGACATTGTGCATTGCTCATGGAAAGAGTAGCACGGGAATGACTGGACAGATTTTGATTCTGTTTTTTTTTTTTTTTTTTTTTTTTTTTTTTTTTTTTTTTTTTTTTTTTTTTCGGAATCCCTGAACACTGCTTGTGGGTACACCAATATTCAATTTCTGTTTTATGGCCCTGTTATTTTTCTAGACGATTATTTGTCCATGCCACTGTTTCTGACAATGTGTGTCGGCAGCCATGATGATCTCTAAAAAAAAAAAGAGAGAACGTATTAAAAAATTCTGAGAGTGCCATACCATGTAGCTTTCTTTTGAGTAAAGATCAACACCATTCGCAGCTTTCTGGCATGTTTTGTTGCAGCGCTAGGCTTTCCACGAGCAGACCATGTAATTGGACCATGTAGCACTATGTAACTTGAGAACTACTGAAGCTATCATGATGAAACTGCATATTTCCCTATTTGAGACACTTATGAGTATGCATGCCAAATTTCATTGCTGTAGGTCTACAAATAAAGTTTTTTTTCAATGCCACCTACCCTCTTAAAGGGACCTCTGAATTTTGTTTGAATTATCAGAAGTTTTGAGATCAATGACACTGGGTAAGGTAACCCCACACATAAATAGTAGTGGGAAAGCAGCAGATATTTTATTTTATGGTATGGACCTACAAAAAGTATGAATTAATCAAATGGAGTTTGAATTAATATGCTTTTTAATGCATTGAAAGAATAGAGGGCCAACCAAAAAATTCAGTTTTGACTGAATTAACCAAAAGTATGAATAATCAGAGTTTGAATTATCGCGAGTCTACTGCATTGAATATATGTCTCAAAAAGGTTACGTGCGTGTGCAGTCGAGATTGCATGAAGCTTATAGGCTGCAATATTAAGTTATTGATGCTACTAACTTCAACCTTTAACTCCTTGAGCCGCTGTCGAATTCTGCCTTTCTTTTTTAGCAGACAATCGGAAATGGTAGTGCAATTTACAATGGAGAGCTTGGCACTGGAGAAAGATGCTTTGAGCATCTTTCTTCTAGAGCATAATTTAAAAATGTGTGCCATAATCTCTGTGAACCCATTCACATTCTATTACAGTGTTGATTATGTTTGTTGTCATGTATAAGCTAAGTGTTCTAGTTTTGCATATTTAAAAAGCGCTTTCACATCTTTCTTTCTTTCCAGTTTCGGTTGCAGCCTTTGTCGTCACAGTCTTGCTGGCTCTGGTTATCGGAGCTGTTGGAGCTCTATTTGTGCCAGTATTGGTGCGACGGTACCGAGCCTATCGGTATTCCCGTTTTTCGAATGTTGCAGTTTCTGAATGACTCTGCACATGTTTTTTGGGGTTCACTTGGGGCTGGCAGTTTTCTTTAAGTAATAAGAGATGTTGGGTGAGCTGCCATGTCAGCCCCATTGCCAGCACTCTTTGTGTAATGTGATATCCTCGTGTTAAAATTAGTTGAAATGGGACAAACTTGAGCCCTGTTCTTTCATCGTCATATGCATTTATTTTTGTGCTATTCCTTTTGTTTTTATTTGTCTAAAGCAAGGGTTCTCAGATATGATGGCCCTAAGAAACCCTTATTATCTTCCCATTACTTTTGGCATACAAGGATTAAGGAGTAGGTTGGCAAAAATGCTGATGCTATTAAGACTTCCTGACTAAATTTCACCGCCACGCCATTGGAATGTTATCTTTAATATTGAAGGTCAACGCTCTTGATGAGAAACTGTCTCTAATACATCAGATAGGCAATATTTTTTCACACGCACTTCTACATAATAAACCCCATGCCAGCTGTACAGTTATTGCGTTAGACTTTGTTGTGTGCACATTCAATGCAATTGGAAAGTGCCAGACCTACAGAAATGCATTTTGTGCATATATGCCCGGGATGTAAATTTAAAGTTGGCATTTTAAACTGCTAATATCATCATTTGTTGGCAACGTGCTCAACCAGGCAGACAAGGCCTTGGCTTAAAAAATTTAGCAATCAATTCCTGTGCATGTGTTGGAAACTGCAACAGGAAGCTTCAATAAAATGCCTCTAGACAAGTAAGTTGTATGTTAACGAGAATAAAATGGAGTCTGGTTACATTTGTTCTAACCACTCGCAAAACCTTAAAATTCCCTTTATAGATCCCAGTTTGAGAACCCTTGGTGTTAAGCGTAATATCTTTTAAATGACTTTCTTGGTTTAGTGTAATTTTTTTTTTCGAGTTTTATGGTTGTTGGTAGTAGAACTTTTCTTTTTTTCCTTTTTTTCTTTTGCACTGTCTGCAAAATATAAGGCGTTTTGCTGACACAACAGGCACCGTTTGTGATAACTGTTGCTTTCTAGTGCCACGTTTTAATACTAGACACTTTCTGAATGAGTGTAACATATATGCAGTGTGGTTTTGTTATGTATGTGAATAAAAATGTATCCAAGATTGTAGCTCATTTGTACACTGTTACGCTTTCTGTACAATGAAGAGACACTAAATAAAAATGAATTTTCATTCAGCTTTGTCGCTACTCCAACAGCCAGCCTGTTTCGGGCAATTTAATAACGTGTAACCAGATGGATATTTTGCACATACTCTTATCTACAGAATTTGGGTGCACGTTAAAAAACACCAGGTGGTCTAAATTTCCGGAGCCCTCCACTACGGCGTCTCATAATCAGATGGTGGTTTTGGGACGTAAACCACTCAAATCAATCAATCAAAATTTTATCTACAGAATAAAGTGTGTGTGTGTGCTTTTTTTGTTTTAAGTAATCAATACAAATTTGTTATAAAAATCTTATTACATTGAGGCTCCTATCATTTTTGCCTATGAAAATTGTGTGGAGGAGGAAATAGTTGGCCACATTGAAAATACTATTCTAATTAACAAAAACTCCTTAATCCACTTTTTATTAAGGGTGCAGAAATATTCAAAATATTCAATATTTTTGTAATAGTCTTTGCTATGCTATTCGATTTGATTCGCCCTGGAATTGATGTGCTATTCGAACTTCTCAAAAACAGACAGTCAACGTAAAATTGAAAGTGGCCCCTTCAGGTTTTTAATATTGTTACGTTTAGAAATGTGTTTATTACGCTGTGCCGTACTGGTAGACTTGAAGGGGTCGTGCACCAGAGGCCCATCTCGCTAGCAGAAGGTCCTCTTCTCTAATGTGCCTGTTCCCCGCTACCCAGAGGCTCATACCCAAATCACATTTGCATAAAAATATGCTTCACCTCATTAGATTTTTGTATTGTGGCAAAGCAGTTTTTCAAGCTCCGCTGTGTTTGCAAATGGGATGACTCAAAAAAAAAAAAAAAACGCTTGTTCCAACATGCAAATGATTGATGTGGCATATGTGGGGACTCAATGTCATTTTTGACACGAAATTTAAGCAGGAAGTCTGAAAAATATGCACCAAAGACTTTTAGACTGCAGGGAAGTGTCACAGCTATAGAATTTTTAAAAATGCCTTGGACAAGTCACGCACCGGAAAAAGGAAAAGTAAACACAGGTGTTTACTTTTCCTTCTTCCAGTGCGTGACTTGTCCAAGGCATTTTTAAAAATTCTATAGCTGTAACACTTCCCTGCAGTCTTGCATTAACGGCCCAATCTAACAGCGATAGTATTAAAATCCATAGCGCTTTATGAGCTGTTCATCGTTGAATAACTATCAATTCAGTGTTCCGGCTCACATTCCTCACGATATCATGTTTTGACCAGATGTATCGGTATGCAACAACCCGCATGCCGCTCATCATCTACGTTTGGTGCACACCTGCCCACGACTATTATTCGTTTCACATTTCATGCGTATGTATACACTCAGGTGCGTTCGAACCCCATTCAACAAGCGGCGGCATGTTGTTCTCGTTTTGTGCCCGCACAGCCTCAACGAGAAGCCGGCGCAGGAAGATCCAGTTCTCCCAGCGTATCAACTTTTCCCATAAGGACTCGCGTGCTCGCGGGTCGTTGTGGGATTGCTTGAAAAGGGTATATTGGCGCAGTAGCGTGTGTGCCTTTTGTAGTGGGGTACCAGCTTTCAAGCATGGAATCATTATGATAATTGCATATTTTGACGCTTGTTGGCAATGGACGCTTGTACCACGCATTATTACTGCAATATTTCATGTTGCATTGTGAAGCATGTATACAGGGGTTGTTTGGAAAGCATGAAAGCTACTTTCACTGCATTTCCAAGCAAACGAAGTTCTTTTCACTGTTTTCACAAGCAGAGGCATGGTAATGTGGTAGAACATCTGTTTGCCACGCAAACGACCGGGTTCGATCTTCGCTTGTACCCAAACAATCTTAGTTCAGTCCCCACTCTTTTGCAGGATTTTTATCTTCATTTTATTTGCATTGTTCTCAATTTTTTGGTCATGCATCAGATGGCGATTATTCGCTCGCAACAAACAACGCCAGAATTCGTGCGAAGCGATCTCTTTAACGCTATCGCGTTAAGATGAGATGCATGTTGTTGGCGTCTGACCTGTACCATTTCCTACGTGTGCTGCAATGCTGTCGCTTGCATTGAACAACAGGCCAAGTGGTTGGTTACAGTAATTTAATCTGAGGGCGCTGCTTTCTCGTGGGTGTGGGAGTGTTCTAGTTATTTTTCATATTTTGCGGGCTTGATTTGTCAGAAGGCGCCCCAAACTCGCTTACTTGCGCCATCCTGCATCAAACCACTCCTGCTGCGCCAAGCTCGCCTGTGAACGCCTTACTGCGCTGCAGCACCAGAATTTAGCAGCAAAGTGCGAAAGTCATCGGGCGCCGTGCCCGGAAACGTGGGTGAAACATTGTCTTTTTGGTTTCATCGAAACGGTTATAGTTTCGGTTTTGTAAAGGCTACAATCGCTCCAGCAGTAGCCGTGAACTTTGATTCTAAGGTGGTCGCTATCGCTGTGCGCCCGCGATCACGGCAGGCATCAGCGGGAATAGCTCGCGAACCCTTCTACGTGCTGCGCTGTTAACGCGAAAACATTGCGAGAAGAGCATCTCTCCCTGGCACGGCTCTATTCTCTGACACCAGCGTTTTGTAGAATCACGCAATATCAGATCTAAAGAAAGTTGCCTACCAGCCTTACTATTTGTTGCCGCCGCGTTCATTGCTTCGCCATTGCGGTGAAACTGCTTTTTTTATAACATGATGGCAGCGTGTGGAAAAGAAAAAAACTACAGACCATCTACCCTAAGGGAACCCTGATGAAATGCGAAGAAGCAGCTGTGTGCACGGCTTTGACCCGGTTGAAACGGGCGTAGACTCCGGTACATGAAGAATGCGCACAGTTGATACATTTGAACAACTGTGGTTGTTTCGTGAAGTGGTTAGACGCACCAATGATATTTCGGAATTGCGCCTTGTGGACATATTGTAAGCACAATATTCACAGCGTTTGACCTTCATCTTTTTTTTTTTTTTTATTGATATGATATATAAGGAGATGTTGGCGCACCATTACGGCGCTGGCTACTCCTTAGCCGTTGATTGAAACTTGAACACGTATGTTGAAGCAAAACATACAAAGCAGTGCATGGAAAATAGAAAACTCGGGCACAGATATGCAAAGACACACTTATACGCACATATCACAATGGTAAGTAAATGTTCGAAAGTCAATGTAAGAAGTCTCTGGAAATGTCCCTCGTTATTATTCGGTCCACCAGCACAAAACAGCAAAGGACCTTCATCTTCTTCATCTGTATATAATCATCATCACAAAAAAACGCCGTCTTCATTCGAAGCGTCGATCAGGCGATACGGCCTAATAAACACCGTCGAGACCCCAACGCTGCTACTGTCTTACAGGATTTAAGCAGCCTCCACCACTCTGTAAGACACCTTTCGGCGTGTCTTCGGTATCTCGTATTTTTCAGCGAATAATGGACACTATGCTTAAGGATCTCAAAGGTGTTGCATGCTGTTTGGACGATATCCTTGTGACCGGAAGGACTAGAGCCGAACCCCTACAGAACTTTGGAAGCAGTTCTAACTCATTCGGAAAACCGGGAAGTTCAACTAAGAGCTGAGACACGCAGTTTTTTTAAAGAAGGAATTGGCATTCTTGGGGCACAAGTTAAGTGCAGACGGTATACATCCCACGACGGACAAGATTGATGCTATTGTAGCCACGCCAGCACCAGAGAACAAGCAGCAACTTCGTTCTTTGCTCGGAGCCGTAAACTACTACAAAAAATTTCTACCTCAACTGGCTACGTTGGCCCATCCCATGTGGAAACTCCTGCGGGACTACCAAGTTTGGGCGTGGACCAGTGAATGTCAAATTCCTTTGACAACATTAGGGCTGTATTGGTGCCCACGGAGGTTCTGGGTCACTATGATCTGCAAGGACCACTCCAACTGGCTCGCGACGCATTTCATTACGGGGTAGGTGCTGTGCTTTCTCATATTTTTGCTGATGGCACTGTTTGCCTGGTTGCTTACGCTTCAAGGACTGTCCGAGGCTGAGCAGAAGAATAGCCAGATCGAGAAAGAAGCGTTAACAATCATTTTCGGCGTTAAGAAGTTTCACTACTATATTGACGGGCGCCCGTTCACGCTGATAATGGATCACAAACCACTGCAGACTATTCTGGGCCCAAAGTCTGGCATACCAAGCTTGGTAGCAACAGGACTTCAACGTTGGGCAGTGACGTTATCGGCCTACATGTACACATTGAAGTTTCGACCGACAAATGAAAATCTACAAGCTGACTGGTTGTCGCGCTTGCCAGTTCATCAGGACTCCTCTAATAATGCAGAGGGAACGTTCTACTCGTTACACTTGCAATGAATGCTGGTGACACACAAAGACATTGCATGTGCAACCTCGCATGACCAAAAATATAGAAACACGTCACTTCACAACAGCGCCTTATCACCTAAGTTCGAATGGCCTGGTAGAACGTTTCGTTCAGTCCCTAAAGACGGCCATGAAGACAGATTTAAATGCTGGAAGCCTGCAGGCCAGCCTTGACAGCTTCTTGCTTGCTTATAGGAATACACCCCACGCTACGACGAAAAAAGCGCCGGCTAACGTTATGTTCGGTACAAGGACACCTTCTGGAAGTTCTCGGACACCCCTGCGGAGACGCCTACGGCAGCGCCCACAGCTTCCCAGGCAGCACCACCAGTACGAATTCCGTACGCCATCGACGACCGCCAGACCGCTACACGCCTTCTTTGTTTTGTGTAACTGTAGCTCCTCACAATTTAAGCGGGAGGAAATGCCATGTATGCGGTATGGCCACGTGTTGTAGATAAGAGCGGCCAGCTAAGGCGCCTAGTAACCATGCGACCCGGCTGCGATCGGTGTAAAGCTGGCATGTCTAGGCTGCCGCCCGCTCTCCCTTTTTCATTTGCTTTTGTACCGTCGTACGAGCGACACGATGTAGCAATAAAGGGTTTGCGATTCTACGTTGGTCTCCGGGCTTTGAACGTAACAGAAACAGCAAATAAACTATCAAGCGAAATGACACGTATGTGCGAGATTCCTAAACAATGCACGCA